GAGAGAGAGAGAGAGAGAGAGAGAGAGAGAGAGAGAGAGAGAGAGAGAGAGAGAGAGAGAGAGAGAGAGAGAATGGAGGAAGAGAGAGAATGGTGGAAGAGAGATGGAGGAAGAGAGATGGGGGAGGAGAGATGGAGGAAGATAGATGGGGGAAGAGAGATGGAGGGGAGTAAAGATGGACGAGGAGTCGAGGACACGAAGAGATGGAGGAGGGGAGGAAAGATGGACAAGGATGATGAGAGGTGGAGGAGGAGAGGTGGAGATATGGAGGAGATACCATGCCAGTCGAACTTCAAGGTTCAAGGTTCCCATGTGACGTGGAGATATGGAAGTCTGAGGGCGTATAAGAGGGCACACACACACACACACACAGAGAGAGAGAGAGAGAGAGAGAGAGAGAGAAAGAGAGAGAGAGAGAGAGAGCTGGTGGGTGCCCACCTTCATGGCTGCCCGCCGATCTCCCGCTGCCCGCCGCCGCTTCCTGCCGCTGCTTGTCGCCGAAGGTGTCCCGCCACTGCTGTCCGCCACTGGTGTCCCGCCGTGTCCCTCCCTCCCTCCTTCGCCGCCCTCCCACTTCTCCCACCTTCGTCGCCCTCCCCCCGCTGCTCCCCACCTTCGTCCCTCACTTCGTTCTCCGTACTTCGTCGCGTCTCTCCCTCCCTCCTTCGTTGCGCCAAGGTGCGAATGACGACGGGGGCGCGCGGCTATTTGAGTCAATAATTGATGACATAATGCACGACTTCACTAGCACCCTGCTACGGGTCTCTCTGGTCAGGTCGAGCAGCAGTGGTTAGGACCGTCACTATGTGGCCATGCTGTGTCTCTAGGAAAGTATTTTTTGGCTGTGACAGACCTACCTTTTTTCGTGGGTGTTTGCTGGCTTGTGATGTGGTGTGAACCGACAGTCTGTAGAGTTTTCGATCTGGTGTGGGTGAGTGATAGTCTGCTTTGATTTTCGTCACAGGTACCTTGAGGGCAGTGGTTGGTGCCCACCTCAGGGTATCAGTTATCAGGCAGTCGTTGATGCTTAACGACAGCCGGGGTTGGGGATTCTGCAGACTGTTGAGGGTTCAGCCTCCTGATGAGTCGGCGGAACTCCGACGAAACAGTTTGTTACAGCTCCTCGTTTGTTGTCCTCTTTTCACTCTCTCTCTCTATATATATATAGTTAAACAGAGCTGCCCGGTAAACTGTAGGCAGAGAGGGAGAAGAGGACAACATTGGCGAAACTCCGACAAAACAGTTTATCACAGCCCCTCGTTTGTTGTCCTCTTCTCCCTCTCTCTCTCTCTCTATATATATAGTCAAACAGAGCTGCCCGGTAAACCATAGGCAGAGAGTGAGAAGAGGACAACAAACGAGGGGCTGTGACAAACTGTTTCGTCGGAGTTTCACCGACTCATCAGGATATATATATTTCCGCTTCTCCTCCTGACTGGTCCAGTAAGGAAACCTTCAAAAAAGAATGGCAGGTGGCGACAGAGCCAGGTGGAAAACATCCCTGATTAGGTAACGCTGAGTCTCTGCCTGTTACCAGGCAAAAGTGCAAAGTCTAGGTTTGAGTTGAGCCCCTTGTAATTTGACCTTTCAACTTCTCCTTTCTTTATCAGCAGATTCAGCACCCCATCATACTGGATGCACCCCCATCAATGTAACAGTTATGGATGCTGATGGTGCAAGGCGCTTTTTTTTTCCTTTTCTTTTTTTCTTTCTTCGGCAACATTAGAAATTTGTGATATGTAAATTTTAAATTAAAATGGGTATGAACTTTAAAAGTTTGAAGTGTCAGGAGTCAGGAATCTGAAAACAAACGCTCCAGAGAAACAGAAATGCTGCCCCTAAATAATAATAATAATAATAATAATAATAATAATAATAAATGCTGCCCCTCAAAACAGACATCATTTGAGTTCTTGGCAGGGATTAGAAAACGACGAGTAAATTTAATAAATTAATAAATTATAATTACTAAATTACTGTACGTTACAGAGATTTCCCTCTGCCAAACTCAGACACGCGCAGTGACACAGCAGCAGATTCTAACCGCGCAGTCAAAAGCTCACCAAAGAAAAGTTTACTGTAGACGAGTACTACATACTTTAATTTTTCCTTCCTTCAGCCTGAATCAGCCGTGCCGTGCACTTCACCGGGGGCCCACGGAGGGCTGCAGAAGAGGCAAGAAGGCACATTGAATTTCTCACTGAGCGAAAGTGAACGTGGATTTGAAGCCTTGAGGACGACAAGAAAACGAACGTTTAAATGAGGGGTAACTGCAGAAATAGCGCGTTTTCCCAAGTTTCCTGGTGGAAATGTTGTCGGGTCCCGAAAGATGAATTTTTGCAACGAAAGTGGGACACCGCCACGCTGTGAAACTGCCGGGTGTGGGACCTGTAAAGCTTCAAAGAAAGAAGTATTCTTTGCAACGAAACTTGGGACCCCACCACGATTTTTGCTGTGAAACTACCGCAAACGCGCTATTTTTGAAACCTACCCTTCATATTATTGAATTTGAATTTTGAAACTTGAAAGTGAAAATAAAGAAGACAAACATGAAAAACCCAGTGAAAGTCTGAAACCGTTCTTTCAATAATTTCTTCTTTTTTTCATCTCCCCCTTTCCTGTGCCTGTCACGTACAAGCCTCGCCACGTTGATGAAGCTGAGCGCGAACTGCCCACGCCCACATCCCAGTAGTGCAATAACGCCCCACTTGTAAATATTAGGGGTTTAATAGGCTATATATAGTCAAACAGAGCTGCCCGGTAAACCGTAGGCAGAGAGGGAGGGAGAAGATGACAACAAACGAGGGGCTGTGACAAACTGTTTCGTCGGAGTTTCATATATCGTGGTTTAAAGAGGAGAGAGGCTAGCCTGGTTAGTAGTTACCCTATCAATCGGCGATCAGAAATGAGAGATCTGATCCTTGGGAGCCAGAAAGGCCAGCCAGTCAGCCAGCCAGCTTCGAATTGAATTTGGAAGGCTGTGGGTAAGTCACACTGTGCACTTTGGGAGGTGAGTGAGAGTGGCTTTACTAGATCCTCAACATGTTGTGCCTAAGCTATGGTGATGGCAGTGATGATGACGATGGGAAGCTTCGATTATGGATACCGTCACACACATAGAACGCACAGTCATTAAATTAAATGCTGTATATAGACTGTAAGTTGACCATAATACCATATGCAGTTGCGGGAAGTCCGTACCAGAGGACAAGTTACGAAAGTGAGAGGGGAACTGCACTTGATGTTTGGGGAACTGGACTTGACGTTTGTCATCACGTCGATGAAGATGTAATAATTGTTTTCAAAACTTAAGTAAAACGTACGTACACACTAATTTACATGTGAGGTGATAATCACTAATTTACATGTGTGGTGATAATCACTGACTCCTTACGTACAAGTGCATGACATTGTCGGCGTGATAAATGTGAAGGGTACATTGTGTAGTTTTGCAGTCAGCAGCTGGTGGATTGGACTGGATATGTACATTGTCCAATACAGGGCGTGCCCACGCACACACGTGTGTCACGGTGTGTGCGTTTGTGTGTAAATGCCACTCGGTTAATCTGAGTGTGTAGGTACGTTGTCTAACACAGGGTGTGGGTTTGTGTGGGTTTGTGTGTGTGTGTGTGTGTGTGTGTGTGCGTGCGTGCATGCATGTGTGTGTGTGTGTGTGTGTGTGTGTGTGTGTGTGTGTGNGTGTGTGTGTGTGTGTGTGTGTGTGTGTGTGTGTGTGTGCGCCACGCTTGTGTGGTTGAGTGGGTAGTGCCCACACACCCGTCTGCCGTGTGTGTGTGTGTATGTGTGTGTGTGTGTGTGTTGTCATGGTCGCTATACACAACTCCAAAAAAGAAAAGCATGATTGAGGCAGACTGTTTCGTCGGACTTTCAGACACTGACATCAAGCACGAATTCAGCCGTGGCTTACTGCGTATGTGATGCGTAATTTGCATTGGGTGTATGTTGTCATGTTCTCTATACACAACTCCACAAAAAGAAGCACGACCGTGCCAGACTGTTCCGTTGTATTTTCGCCGACCCATCAGGAGGTTGAATGAACCTGAACCGACAGTCTGCCCAGGATGCATTTGACTGATGGATAAGAAATCCCCGTCGCCCAGAGTTAGCCATCCCCCTGAGAGTAAACAGTGGTTTACTACCTTTACTTTACTCACACCAACCGTGCAATCCTATGCAGTGTGTCATGTGTGTTGTCCTGTTTGCTATACACAGACTCCACACACAAAAAACCCTGAGTGTGCCAGCCTGCTTCGTCCAGCTTATACACCAACTCATGAGGAGGATATGTGTCGCGTGTGTGTGTGTGTGTGCGTGTGTGTTTGTCGGTCTCCCAGGCTTTTGAAGAGCTGGGCTGATTCGGCTGAATGCGAGACCTCCGTTCCATTGTCTGAAGCATCCGGGGCCATTTAAGAGTGTACTTCAGAGATCATTACGAGTTGATATCCTCCACAGCCACAGGCGGCAGAATTGTCACCTGCATGATTCAATTTGAGGCATCCGGGGGCAAAGAAGAAACAAGCAGAGGTGGTTGGAAGCTCAACTCACACAGTTAAGGAACGTCAAGGAGGGAGGCTCTGTTTCCTGCTGAAGATCCGGACCAGGAGAACTCAGGCTGCATCAGCATCGTCGAGCGCGCGATTGCGTGCTGACTGGCAGGGCAAACTATGCTCGGACTGCATAAAGAAATAAGCTTGAAGGTGGAATTGAAATTACTGAACTGATCAATCAATCTCCGTGGTAATAGGCTAAATAGTAATTATAGCGTTTTTCTTTGATCTGAATGTTCTCAGAGTTTTCAGTCGTATGCAGACCAGTGCACTGTTTTTCTTTTTTTTCCTTCATTAAAGTTAAATTCGTCTTCCTCTGTTTTGCTTTTTAAAGGGCGACGGCCATTGCATACCTGTCTCGGCCTTTTGGCTAAAAATAGATCAAGTGTAGTATCTGTTCTGATCATCAGTTTAATATCTGATCTGTTCCGTGGTCCATCGGGCCACAAAAAAAAAAAAAAAAAAAAAAAAAAAAAAAAAAAAAAAAAAGATATCATCATTGAGCTGAGCGGCCCCAGGAATTCAACATAATTTTGTTCTCGTCATCTGATTGTATCTGGATTCGAACTTGGGTCCGATTCATATTTCCACAGTTGGTGGGTGTACAAATTGAGCTACGTAGGCCCGTTGGTGCCAGTGTGCACAGTTGTAAAAGGCAGAGTAGGACACAATCATAATAACAGTGTTAGGGCATACTCACACTAAAGAGTTTTTCTTTTCACCTCTCTGTGGACGTAATAGTGCATCCTGGCCAGGTCGGAAACGCGATCATATGCATTGGCGAAAGTGCTAGTGTGAGTAGTAGTGTGAGTAGTACTGAGTACGCCCAATCATGACTTCCCAACGCTCCCGAGGCGTCCAGCTAGCAGCCATTGTCTACACGATGCTGCTCTTCGTCTTGGCTTTTCAATGCCAGATCCCCGTGACTCTGGCTTGCGCACCTCTCGGTAATCGCTGCGGACCCGCTCACTGGTGCTGCGACTTTACGGACACAGCAAAGCCAATGTACTGCTCCTTTTCACTCCGGTGCGAAGAGTCGAAGCTATCGGGATATCCCGCCCAGTTACGTGGATTCTTACTTCAGGCTGGTGATGATTAAGTAAGGTTGTGCCAGTTGGGTGCCTGGCTAGGACTCGGGGTCCGTTACTCTCTTAAAGTTTGTGTGCGTGTGTGTTTACATGTTCGCTATAGTACACACCTCCACAAAAAAAAAAGCATTACTGTGACAGACTGTTTAGTCGGACTTTTTTCACCGACTCATCAGGAGGTTGAGCCACGACACTCTGCCCAGGATCTCTTTGTGTGTGTGTTGGGGTGGGTGGGTGGAATGATATATTTTTTGATATTCTTTTTCCTTCTGCAGTTCTGCGGATTTGGATGCGTTCTGGCAAACTGTTGCGGTATTTGTGAATGCATGCTCGCTCGCGCGCGCGCGCCTGTGTGTGTGTGTGTGTGTGTGTGTGTGTGTGTGTGTGTGTGTGTGTGTTGTCATGATCGCTATACACAACACCACAAAAAAAAGATGAGAGAGAGAGAGAGAGAGAGAGAGAGAGAGAGAGAGAGAGAGAGAGAGAGAGAGAGAATTGCGAATGCTACATGTAGTTAAAAAAATGTGCAGTGCGCCGAAGGGTGAGAGCATACGCACGAATTTAATTCTGTCCATCATTCTTATCATGCCTGTATGGGTCTGGAAAGATAGCTTGTATACATCCATGATCGGGGTACGTTGTGCTAGGGTGAAGGCGGAGACCCCACTGCAAGATTTGTGCTGGTCTCTTCCTTTCACCAATACATTAATTAATTTTTCACTCTGGTTCAGTTCACTGTCTACTTCTCGGTTTGTGTGTGTGTGTGTGTGTGTGTGTGTGTGTGTGTGTGTGTGTGTGTGTGTGTGTGCGAATAAAGTAGTAATAACAATAACAATAATAATGATATTATTATTATAAATTAACGTGAATGAATCCCTTTCTTGGTCTGTCACCCATGCGGTCAAGTCTCGTATCTGTTGAGCTCCGATTCATATAACTGGGGGGGAAAAGAACAGAAAAGGGAGAAAAAGAAAAAGAAGAAAAGAAAAAGGAAGCAAAAGAAAAAGGAAGCAAAAGAAAAAGAAGAAAAAAAAAAGGAAGCAAAAGAAAACGAAGAAAAGAAAGAGGAAGCAAAAGAAAAACAAGAAGTGTACTTCATCGAACACAATAGCACCACATCCACAATTGAGGTGCTATTGTGGTGCGTTTGAGGTGTGCTATTGTACTGGACTGTTTTGATTGATCGAACGAGTGACTGGTGATTGATGGACGTACGGATCGAGTCCTCGATGGCTTGATTTGATAAATTGATCGGGTCGTTTATCTGATTGATTGGTGATCGTGATTGATTTGATTGGTCGATTAACGACATCAATCGAGGTGCTAGCATTCGTTCATCGTGATCGATTTGATTGGTCGATTAACGACATCAATCGAGGTGCTAGCATTCGTTCCAGCTTGCAGGATGATTGGTATCGATCCCTGCACAGACGAGTCGTTAATCGCGGTAGACATATGTAAAAGGAATATGAAAAAGGAAAAAGAAAAACGGTAAAGGCAAAGGAATGAACAGCAAAAGTACGCGCGATGCACAGGACGAAGAGAGGGACATCAATAGCACCACAATAGCACCACAATAGCACCTCAATAGCACCTCAATAGCACCACAAAAGCACATCAATAGCACCGCAATAGCACCCCAATAACACCACAATAGGTCCCCAATCGCACCACAATAGCACCACAAAACAGAATGCGACTGCAAACCAAGCAAATGTAAGGCCAAAGTTAAACGGAAAAAAAGAGGAAATGAGTCTGGTGGGAGACCCTAATTAGCGTTTCGCCCAATCGAAAAGCCCGATCTCGTCAGGCGTACGAACAGTGTCCTTCCTGGATTAGTTTGATTGAATGGTTGATTGATTGCTGATCGTCAGCGATATGAAACATGCCGTTCGAGGATTGATTCGATTGATTGATTGAATGATCGATTGGTCGATCCATTGTGATCGATTGATTGATTTGATTGATTGATTGATTTAATTGATTGATTTGATTGACTGATTGATTTGATTGATAGATTGCCAATGATTGATTTGATTGATTGATTGATTGATTGATTGATTGATTGGTTGACTGAATGATTGGGCGATTGATTGTTTCTCGTCCATCGGTCGGTCGGTTGGTTGGTTGATTGGTTGATTGATAGGTGTTTCGTTGATTGGTTGATTAATCGATCAAAGGATCAGTGAACTCGATTGAACTCATTCACTAATTAAGCTATCGAACTGATTAATTCAGTAATTGATGGATCGCCCAAATTGAATGCACAGTGCGACTAACGGCCTCGCTACACGCTACACTACTCTACAGTGTCTGCTCTGTCCAAATTCTTGTAGAGTGCGTGTACATAGCTATCGGACCATGGAAAACATAGAAAATTGCGACGTCCTCGACGCAGGAAAGCTGCGTCAACCCTCCACTTACTGTGCAAAGTCGGGGCGTACTCACACTGGCTCTATCTTAAATGCATCTGACCGTATTTACGCCCAGACCTGGCTGACGCAACTCCGTCCAATGGATGAATTAGGTAAAATAGTCCTGGTGTGACTATACCGTCGCACTCTCCCAGTACTGAGAGCAGCACAAAAGACAGCTCAAGAGTCGTGTTTGTCCGCCCAGATTCACACCAGGTTCGCTGTCCAAAAACCACGTTCGCTGTCCAAAAACAGTGAACCTTCAAGGACCGGCGGTTGCAGGCTGCAGACTCAACAACAGTGTAGAGTTTTTTTTTTTTTTTTTTT